GGAGCTGGTGGTGGGAGGCCCTGTGGAGCTGGTGGCGGGAGGCCCTGTGGGGTTGGCGGCGGTGGGAGGCCCTGAGGGGTTGGTGGCGGCGGCGGGAGGCCCTGCGGGGTTGGCGGCGGCGGGAGGCCCTGCGGGGTTGGCGGCGGAGGGAGACCCTGCGGGGTTGGCGGCGGAGGGAGACCCTGCGGGGTTGGCGGAGGACCTTGCGGAGCTGGAGGAAGGCCTTGTGGGGTTGGAGGTGGACCCTGTGGAGCTGGTGGAGGACCCTGCGGGGCCGGAGGGAGACCTTGTGGAGTCGGAGGAGGACCTTGTGGTGTTGGTGGTGGTCCCTGTGGAGTTGGTGGTGGTCCCTGCGGAGCCGGAGGAAGCTGCGGTGGACCAGGCGGCACTGGGCCAGCTGGTGGCATCGGTGGCATGGGCATGCCTGCTGGTCTTGGAGGCGGAAGGGCATCTGGTGGCATGGGGGCTCTTGCTGGTAAACCATTCATGAGTGGTGGTGGTGGTGGTCTGTTCTTTATCCCAGGTGGTCCAATTGGTAAGGTCGGTGGTTGCAACGGTTTTTCCATCTTGAAATGGAACTGAAGAAAAAACTAGGGGGGAAGAAAAAGGAGATCAAACAGTTCTGAAGAAAAGTCAAATTGGACTCAAAGCATTAATTTTGCTTCTTGCTCTACAGATGCTCCCAGGCCTACTGAGTTTCTCCAACACACACTGTTTTTACTTAAGATGGTCAAACTAATTGTGGCACATTATCTTTGTACAAAGATCCTGAAGCCAGATTTTGCAAGTGATCAAATAAATCTGTGAACATTTGGTTACGAATATGTAAATGTATCATTTTTAACCAGATTTTCCACAGAAATGAATGGATGTGACAAGCATGTGATTAAAACTGTAACATACCTCAAAATAGCAACATGTATCTCTTTTAATATTACAACAGAACCCCTATGCATTTCGTCTCCAAACAGACATACAGCACGTGGTTAACCGGGATGTGGTAGAATCAAGTTCACTGCATTTCTCACTGTTATGTCTCAAGAACAACCATGCATGAGTCTTAATGAAGATCAAAAAAAACTATCCTCAACATGCACACTACGTTTTCCTTTAAATTTACAATGCTTTGCTATTGACCCGGCAGGAATCACAAAACCATTTAGCACAGCAGATGACGGTTTTGGTCATCGTGTCTGAACTGCAGTTTGACGAGCTATCCAATTAGATCCAACCTTCCATGTTTTTCCCCACAGCCCTGCATACTTTTCCCCTTTAAACATAGTTTTGTTTTGAAAGTTATTGATGCATCTGCTTCCACTACTCATGTGTATACTTTGATATTTTTCCTCACCCTCATTTGTGGCCATTATTTCTCAGCCATTTGCCACTTAAGTCTTGGCTGAATTGACATCGTGTTGGAATGCTTTTGGACCCTTTTACGCACTTAGGACTTTTGTCTGGCTATCTCTCTGTCCACAAACCTTCATTTAAAAAAAAAATACAGTAAACAGCAATTTTCTGGTCCCACTTTAGACTACCTTCCTATATAAAAAACATATGGCAGCTCAGAACAGGAGTTGGGTGAATGCCAGGATACAGAGTATGGCTGTTTTTTTGGTATGGAGGAGTCTGTACAGTGGTGCTCCCAGGAGTCAGTACCAGTAACAGTGCTTTCCTGAATGTGCATTAATAACCTAGGCTTGGGAGAGCAGGACACATTTAAGAACGTGCAGGGATGCAAAATTCAAATGTACGGTCAACTGTGAGGGCAATACTTATAGACTTAAAGAGGATGTACACAGGCTGGGTGAATGGGCATACATGTGGCAGATGAAACTTAAGGCCTAGAAGTGTAAAGTGACTCATTCTTCCTATCAAAATGAAGAGAGGCAATGTAAAATGAAGGGCACAATTCGAAAGGGGATATAGTGGCAGAGAGAACTGAGGTCCAAAAGCATTGAAGTTGGCTGTAAAGGTCAAGAAAATTGCTAAAAAGGCATCAAGGATGCTGGGCTTTCTAGATGGATCTATAGGGTATGCAAAAAATAGCCATGGCAAACCTTCATAAACAGCTTTATTGTCAACTGAAGTATCATATTGAGTTCTGGGCAATGTACTTTAAGATGGATCTGAAGGCTTTGGGGAGGGCCCAGAAAATATTTACAAGAATTATTTTAGGGATAACTAACATGGATAGATTAGAAAAGGTGAGGATGTTCTCCTTAAAATAGGTCAAAGCAAATTTGACAGAGATTCAAAATCACGAGGCATCTTAACAGGGGGGTGGGGAAGAGGTCGAGGGAGAGAGAGAGCAAGAGAAAAGGAGGAATGCCTCCCATTGACAAAAGTCGAGAACCAGGGCCACTAACAAAGCGATTGACAGCAAATAGCTACTTCCTCACAATGTGGTGGAGGCAAATTCAATTGTGATTTTCACGACAGAATTGAAGAAACACATGAAAGAAATAAATTGCAGAGGTAAGGGGAAAGACTGGTGAATGGAAGTAGCTAAATTGTTTTTGCAGACAGGTGACCTGGATTTGACAGGCTGAATGGGCTCCTTCTGTGCTCTAACTATTCTATGATTATTTGTCATCAAATCTGTACTTGGAGCTCTGAATATCAATACAGATGGTCATACTCCAGAACTTTCTAAGTTGTTGACACATTATCATGTGGCTACAATCAAACATTCAAGATGAAATTCCAATAGTATCTGAAAATCAGACCCCTAAAAGGTGAATTAGATCAAAGTAAATAAGAAGCTGAAAGAGATCCACTACAATAAGCAATGCTCAACATATTCAACAATGTGAGCTGGCAGTAAACAAAGCAAACAGGATGTTCAATTCTACTGTTAAACATTTTAGATTAAATTCCCATAAGTTTTGAACAATTTGCACTTGAAGTATTCTGCAGAGTTTTGGCCACAGAATAAAAGTGACTAGGACTCAAGCCCTATGGATGGTTCACAAGAAAGCACAGGCTGATCCTAAATTAGAGGAAATGACTATAATTAACGAACAAGGCAGGGTGTGAAAACATCTTATTTAAGTATACAAGACACTAAATGAAATAGGCAGTGTTACTTTCAGATTGTTAGGTATTTAGGAGCCCAGTGGTAAAGAAACATAGAAAATAGGATCAAGAATAGGTCATTCATGCTTACTCTACCATTCAAGATGATCAAGCCTGAAAAGCTATTTCTTCACATGGGGTATCAATACTGGAGGTGTGATGATGTTAAAGTGCTAGATGATGCAAGTAAAAGAGATACAACTGGATATTCTGGGACAGTATTCCAACCAATGTCGGAGGTCATGTTACACAGTACAGGATATTGGTTAGGGCACTTTTGGAATACTAAATGCAATTCTGTTCTTCCTGCTGTAGGAAGGATGTTGTGCATCTTGAAATGGTCAGAAAAGATTTACAAGAATGTTGCCGGGGTTGGAAGGTTTGAGTTATAGGGAGAGGCCCAATAGTCTGGGGCTATTTTCCCCTGGAGCCTCGGAGGCAGAGGGATGACCTTATAAGAGATTTATACAATTATGAGGGTCGTATTTAGGGTGAAGAGCTAAGGTCGTTTCCCCAGGGTAGGGGAGCCCAAAACTAGACAGCATAGGTATTAAGTGAAAGGAGAAACATTTAAAAGGGACTTAAGGGGCAACTTTTTCACGCGGCGGTTGCATGTACAGAACAAGCTGTCAGAGAAAGTGGTCCAGGCGGGTTCAATTACGACAGTTGAAAGGCATCTGAATGGGTATATGAATAAGAAGGATTTAGAGCGATAAGTGGAAAATGCTGGCAAATGGGACTAGATTATTTTAGAATATCTGGTCCGCATGGACGGGTTGGACTGAAGGGTCTGTCTCCAAGCTGTACAGCTCTATGACTCAATGACACCATTGCCTGCCAGCAAATCAGTGCCCTGGCATCATCTTTGTGTACCTCCATCTCACTTGAACAGGAGGTTGGTGCCATTGATGGGCACCTGTTGTTGCTGCCGCTTGCTCAACACCCTGCTCTCTGCCTCACTCACGGCCACATTCTCTCACTTGTTTGTTGCTTCGCTTAGGGTGGAGGGTAGTGAGTGAAGCAACAAGTGTTCAAGGACTGGGAACAGGGCAGTGATCCAACAGCTGTCAAAAAAACTTTTTTTGATGTATGCAGCTACCCATGGTCTCACTGCAGTCCTAAGCACTGAGCGAGCAGTGAGTGTGAAATTGCGATGGCAGCAAATGCAGTTTTGAATTAAATGTAACAAAACACGTTCTTCATCTGAACTTATTTTGTGAGGATAAGAGAGCTCTACTGTGGTGTTATGTGTTCTCTTGCAAGGATTTTAAAGGATTCCACTATCTGGAGATCTTAAAAAAAAAACACATAATTGCATTGCGGACAGGAGCTTGTTATAATGAAAGAATGTACACATTGTCTATTTTCTGTTTGATGTAAAGCAAAAATATAAAATAAACTTTAGATTACCTGTTTTGTTTCTCTATTCCAGTGGGTCCAAAACTTTCCCTCAACTTTATCAATTTCTCTACTTGGCACCTACATGCAATTAAAGATGTGATAAGATAGTTTGTTGAGTACATTCAATCTCTGATAGATATTTCAATATTCCATCTATTTCCCTTAATAATCTGAACTAAATATGCAGAGTACAAGATGTGCATAACATTCACTTAAAACATCTTTTCAACAATAAATTAAAATGTGAGAAATTTGTCCAAGCACTATTATAAAATCCAGTCCATTTGTTCAGAAATCCATAAAAAAAAATTTTTTTTTCCCCTTATCTTCGTCTTTCCCTATTGTAAAAGGTTTTCATCAATAACAAAAAAAAATTCCTCGTTTGTTTTGTTTTCTCTCACTAACCATCTATGATCACCAATACTTCTATCCCAGAGTAACATCATAAATAAAAGCAAATCAAACTGATTCCTGTTACCCTGCAAAATTCAATAGTATGGTTTATATATGTAAGCTAGGGATCAGCTAGTACAGCTGGCTGGACAACTGGTTTGCAACGCAGAGTGACAACAACAGCATGGGTTCATTCCCAAAACCAGCTGATTTGGAAGGTCTCACCTTCTCAATCTCATCCTCGCCTCAGGGATGGTGACTTCAGATTAAACCACCCCCAGTCACTTCTCTCTAATGAGAGTGCAGCCCTATAGTCCTCTGGGATTATGATACTTTACCTACATGTGACCATACTAGCATTTTATTTTACATCACCCTTATTATACATTCTTGACATAAAACAGCATGCCTGTTGGTGACTCTATAACCTACTCTTCCTAATTCAAAATCACCTAACTCAAATTACATAATAATACAGCTTTTAAGTCTCAAATCTCCATTGTGTACCTTAAATCAACAAGGTCATTAAATAATTCAGATTCCCATCAGAAGCCCAGTTTGAATAATCAGGAAAAGCACGTGTGTGGAAACAGCATCAAGATTTTGCATCTCATAGCAAACAAATTAATCTGTCTCTCCAGATAGCACAACAATCTATGCGTGTACAATACCTTAAAAGAAATGGTTTCATATGGCTCTGCTGCAAACAACAGGTACTGCCAACGCCTGTCAGGTGGTTCAATTCGCTGCTCATATGCAGACATAAACCGGTGGCGTGGGATTACACCTTCTGCAATTTCAGGATAATCAATCTAAGAGATAAAAATGATTATTTTTAACAAATAAACCATTAGACAAAAGATACATTCAGCTAGCATAAGCTACTATATACGTTGCTGTAGAACATACAGTTAGCTACTTAACCTGGTATGTGCTTAAGATTAACATCAATACGCCAGCAATTGTATGGGGAGAACACATTTGGATTCTTCATTACAAGTCATTGAAGTCACAGGCTAAAATTGTTTCCTTTTGACTACCTTTATGGACGACAGACAGAACACATCACAGATATGTGTGGATCAACTGCTACCACTGTATTTTAATGGGTACTTGAATCAGACCATTCAGAGTGCTGGTTTCATCAATGTATCTTCCGTTACATTCACTATTAAGTATCCCATGGAGCTGAAAGTCTGAGGTAGTTAAGGGAATAAATCTTTTTTTGCTGAGATAGCTTCAAAGAAGTCTGGAAGATCATTTTTGGTGACAAAAGCAAAATGCATGATAATTTATATGGTAAGTCAGAGGTCTTTGTGCTACCAGATAGCTGTTGCTCACCATGTTTCAAGATTCATTACAGGTGAAACTGCTTTTGACACTGATGAAATTGCTAAAGATTATTATAACTGCAAATATATGGACTGTTTTGAGTATGTTTCAACTGCCTGGTCTATGTTGAATAAATTTGTTCAGTGCTATATAGCAAAAAGCAATCTAAAAGCATACATTCTTCAACCAATGAAAAATAAGGAAATTACTGTGAAGCATAGCAGGTATTCTAGTTCACTGTTTGACCCACAATTTTAATTACATCTAATGTAAAATTGGAAAGATAAAGGTTACATGCTGGTTCAACCAAAGATGTGGCTTGAATGCTGAACCCAAGACAATGTCTAGTGTTAAAACCCCAAAATGTAAAAGTTTGCCAAGGAAGTGGTAGCATAGTGGTAACATCAAAGGACTGGTAATCCAGTGTCCCAGACTAATGTCATGGGCATGGGTTCAAATCCAACCATTATAATCGATATACATAAAGCACAAGTGTACATTACCTGAAACAGAAGACTTTGTTGTCCCACTTCTGCATCCCTCTGTTTGGTCACTACAAAAAAATAGTTAAAACTTTGATGCATTTTAGTCAGTTTATTTAAAATAAAGTCCTCTAAAACAGACCACAGCAATTTTCTTCTCTTACTGGGATAAACAGTGAGGTAATTTACGTGGCAATTTTCACCATGAATCTTAACCATTGTGTCTTGTTTACCATGAGTTCCCCCGATATCAAAACTTCTCAGTTGTACTAGAAATTTCCAGATTGAACATAAGAAATAGGTGCAGGAATAGTTAATTCAGCCCCTGAAGCCTGTGCCATAATTCTACAAGATCATGGCTGATCTGCCACAAGCCTCGACTCCTCTTCGATGCTAGCTCATCCTAGCTCTAAACTCCTCAATATTTCAATAATCTATCTACTTCCTTTTCAAATACTTTTAGTGACCTAGCCTCTATACACTCTCTGACAGAAAATTCCACACATTCACCAGCTTGGGAGAATAATTTTTTTCACATCTCAGTTATAGATGAAAGACCCCTTATTCAGTAACTATGTAGCCTAGGTTGAGATTCCCCCACTAATGAAGACATCATCGCAACATCTAGCCTATTAAGACCGTCACCTAATTCCTATGAACCCTAATGAATAAACACCTAATCTGTTTAGTCATTTTTGATAAGTAAACCCCTTCATCCCAACAGTCAGTCTAGTGTATTTCTTTGAACCATTATCCATGTCAATACATCGATTCTTAAAAACGGGGACCAAACTGCACCCAGTTCGCCAGATGCAACCTCGTGAATACTCTATGCAGTTGTAACAAGATTTACCTATTTTTAAACTCAAATCCTCTAGCAATAAAGGCCAACATTCTGTTTGCCATCTTATTTACCTGCTGCAACTGCATGCTAACCTTTTGTGTTTCATGCACAAGAACACCCAAATCCCTCTGTGCTGCACTTTTATGGAGTCTCTTTTGATTCAGTCTACCAAAGCGCATAAACTCACATTTTCCTATATTAAATCCATCTGTCAAGTTTTTGCCCATTCACTCAACTAATCTATATTCTCTTGCAGATTCCTTATGCCCTCATTGCAACCTGCCCTCCCACCTAGTTTTGGATCATTATCAAATTTGGATACATTACATTCTGCCCTTCCTCCAAGTCATTAACATAGATAGTAAATAAATTGAGGCCCTAAGATTTATCCTTGTGGCACTCTGCTAGTTATATCTTTCCAATATAAAAAGATCAGTTAATCCTGACTCTCTGTCTTCAATGTGTTAACCAACCTTCAATCCATTAAGAATCGATGTATTGACATGGATGATGGTTCTGAGGAAGGGTCTCCAGACCCGACACATTAACTCTGTTTTTTCCTTCACCGATGCTGCCAGACCTGCTGAGCTTTTCCACCAACTTGTTTTTGTTCAATCCATGCTTGTATATTATCTAAAATACCATGACCTCCAATCTTGTGCAATAACCTTTTACGTGGCACTTTATGAAATGCCTTCTGGAACTCAAAATACATTATTTTTGCTTGATCCGTTTATCAAATCTATTGTTATATCATCAAAAAACTCTAGCAAATTTGTCAAACATGATTTCCCTTTCAGAAAACCACAATGACTCTGTTTGACTGCATTAAGCTTTTCTAAAAGTCCGATTTCTTCCCTAGTAATGGACTCTAGCAATGATAGATGTTAGCCCAACTAGTTTCGGTCTCCCTTCCTTCTGGAACAGGTGCAACACATTAGCAGATTTCCAATCTGCTAGAACCCTCCTGGAATCCAGTGAGCTCTTGAATATTTTGACCAATGCCTCCACTACCACTGCAGCAACTTCCTTTAAAATCCTTGGACGCAGGTCGTTGGGTGCTGACAACTTGTCTGCCTTCAATCCTATTAGGCTAACAAATACTTTGTCCCTCATCATAGAGGCTGTTAGAAGACTGTTCCTCCTATTAGCACCTTGCTTATCTTTGACACGTTTATAGTGTCCTCCAACATGAAAATGTTAATGTGATATGATGCAAAATGTTTGTTTAAATTATCCGATATTTCCCTATTTTCTATTATCAATTCCTCAGTTGCATTCTCCAAGGGTCCCACATTCATTTTTGCTACTCTCTTTTTATACATGTATAGAAGCTCTTGCTGCTTTTTTAAAATATATTTTCTTGTGAATTTACTTCCATTATCAATGTTTCCCTTGTTAGTAGCTTTTTAGTTATCTGCTGCTGATTCCTAAAAAATTCCCAATGCTCTGGCATCCCATCAGTTTATGCCACCTGTTATGCCTTAGTTTTTGATTGAATATGATCCCTAACTATTGGTGTTCATTCTTCTCATTGAGTCCTTCTTTTTGATGAGAATTATATTTTTTGTGAGCATGGCAAAATATCCCTTTACACATTTTGCCGCTACTCATCTTCTGACCCTCCCTTAGCCTATTCTCCCAGCCCACTTTAGCCAATTCTTTCTTTGTTCCTCTGTAATTGCCCTTATTTATGTTGAAGATGCTGGTTTGATACCCAAGTTGTTTTCCCCCAAACTGAATTTGAAATACTAACACATTGTTTCATTACTCCCTAGAGCATGCTCAGCTACGAGATTACTCCTACCTCCTTACACATTAAGGATCTAAAATAGTCTGTTCCCGAGTAGAATCTGCAATGTACCCCTCTAAGAAACAATCCCTGGTGCACTCTACAAATTTGTCTTCTACATTACTTCTGTGCACTTGATTTGTCCTGTGAACATGCATATTAAAATCACCCATTTCAATTGGGTTCCCTTCATACACGTTTCCATTATGTCCAATTTATATTTTGTCCTACAGTGAGGCGACTCTTCGAGGACCTCAGACATTTCCATCCATGATTTCTTTCAGTTGCTATTCCTTATTTCCACACAAACAAATTCTATTGATTGAATATGGAGACTGCATACAACGCATCTTGTGGGTATTAAAAATGGCAATTTCTTAATAAGTACATTTCAATAGACTTGCTTGACCAGCAGGAGGCACAATTTAAAAGGAGTTAGGGAGCTTATGGGTAACTCTCAAGTTATTTAGTTTAGTGATAATTCAGGATTTCATTATTCTTTAACAGTTCACCCTGCATAATTACTAAAAACTTCAATAACTTTTCTACATTTCATATTCCTAAACCATGGAATGTTTAGCAAAATACAAAAGTTTATAATTAACTGACAATAAAACCCATATATTTTTGCAAAAGTTACAAGTAATTCGCTACGCTAGCCCACTGTGACACTCAAGGTTGAAAAAATACCTTTATAACCTGGCCGGCCAATTTTCACAAACTTTTTCACTTCCACTTTAACCTTCTCTGGGGCGGGCTGTGCTGGTGATTCCTTTGCCTCTTTTGCTGCTCGTCGTGCCCTGTATTCAAAACACAGCATGGACCATTTGTTGGAAATCTTATGATTTGATGACTAGCCCTAACAATAATAGTTGGTTCATTTTTTTGAAGCAGTAGATATGTGACCAATTCCTGCACATTTACCAAAATCATGTAATTGGTGCTCAACTGCATGGTGATTGACAGATCCATATATTAAACGTATAGGCCATTTATGCATTGCAACCAAGTGCCTTAACTCATTAGGAATTAAGTATGCAACTCTGAATGGTTATTTCAAAAAGAGCTATATCAAGTGATTACTGATGATTTGACATTTTAAAGTAGCAGTTTGTCTGTGTCCATATATTGTTCAACTAAATATTCAATTTATGAATTTGAAGGTACTGAGCATGCTTTAAAAAATGTTGATTATTCCTTAGGCTGAGTTAGTCCATTGCAAAATAAACCTGGATCCGAAACCGATGGATATACGAACATCCAGTTTTTAAAAAAAATTTCATGGAATCTGGGCATTGCTGGTAAACTAGCACTTGCTGCCCATTCTCAAGAAGGTGGGAGTGAATTGTCTTCTTGAACTGCTATCTGTCTGATATAGGTGCACTAACAATGCTATTAAGGAAGGTTTAAATATATCCTTCTATATAATGGATTGTAAAGCTACATTATTTGTTTCTGTGCATGCCACTAAGTAATCCACAGACAAACAACTAGGTTCAAAGATACAATCATCTTAAGAGAGAACCCTGGCCTTCCATAAGACAATGTGATAGATGGCTGACTCAGCAGCACAGTGGGATAGAAACTCCTCAAACTCCTCTTTAATGCCTCAAATTAAAAACTCTTAATATTGCTGCTTTGAGACAGAATGTGTTGAGTAGAAGCCAGGCACTATTCCACTGGGAACCAAGTCATCCTAAGCCATTTAATCCAATCTCCCAATGATCTGTAAAGCAACAAGAATGCACACGGTTGCACTGTCCAATTGGTAGAACGAACATCATTGACATCAAAGCTCCATTCAAAGAATTGTTTTATCTGGAAGGCTTTAGCACTATCAGAGGTTTACCAGGAGTCTAAGAATATTTTTTAGCACATCCATTTGGCTGCTGAGTACCAAGAAGAGACTTCCTTGTGGATAGAGGTAACAGGTAACATACTTTTTCACAAATTCTGAAATCTTTCATATATCTGACAACAGCACTGACTCCTGTCATCTACCTCTCACTACATTTCTTTAACGGGCCCTTCTGAGAAAGAGCTAACAGAATGAAAACAAGTCTTTTTTTTAAACCCCAAATTTTATATTTAAAACCTTGTATCAATGAATGGAAGACTCTGTTCAGCATTACAGCAGTATTCAAATGCAGTAAAAGTTTTGATGGATAACAGCTGCGATATAAACAGAAAATGTCAACTAATGGCATTGAGCTGCACATTTTACAGTTTAGGTTTTTTCTAATGAGACGAGTATTTGTTAAAATAAAGGAACTGAACACAGAATAGTTGCAAAAACACAGTTTTTACATTAAAAATAATTTTACACTTACAGATTAGTCTGATGTTTTTTCCCTTGTGTGTGCGCCAAATAGCTGCCCTATAGAAGAAAAATTCAAATCAAGTTAAAACAGTACTTTAAAAGTGTCTAATTTAACTTGGGTAAATTAACTGAACAAGCCTCAACATCAGAAATGTAAAAGATAGCTCCAAGAATACAACACTTTATTTGGGAGCAAACCTGATTTTTAAAAAAAAAAATTGCTGGTGGTACAGGGAAGATCAGTGGGTTAAAGCTCTGCATTTGCTTTTGAATACTCAATCTAGTCAATAAAACCCCTACTTGAAGGATGAGAATGTCAAATGCATTTGAGTTATTTTCAATGCGATTTCCAAAAAGCAAGTTCGTCAATAATCTTGTTTTTAAAGCAGTATTTAGATTCATCCAAACTAGTGGAAAACAGAAGTGTCCAGCTTAAAGAATTTGATGTAAACCTATTTGAATATCCACATATGTTCTATGGGAAACCATCCCACTATCAGCATTACTTTCATCTTGATGAAAAAGAAATTTAGTCCAACCATATAAAAATGAATTAAGTGACTTTAGAAGATGTGTTGCAAAATATTATGGGAAAATTAATTACATACAGACTCAGCTAGTTTAAATAAGATTACACAAAAAATAAAAAGATGTTACACCTGATGAATATTTCATCAAACTATTGACTGAAAAATGAATCACATCAGCTCAAAGATAGCACCGTAAGTCAGAAATGCAACATTGGCTTGAGATCCATTCATCAAGCTAAAATTTACTGTAAAAGGTTTTTTTTTAGTGTTTACCTACTTTTCTTACTCATGAGATGTGGGTGCCATTGGCAAGGCTAGCATTTATTGCCCATCCCTAACTGATGTTGAAGAAGTGATACTGATGAGCCGGCCTCTTATACCACTGCAGTCTATGTGCTATAGGTCCAGCCACAATACTGTTATTGAGCAAGTTCATAATTTTTAGAGATGCAGGGAGAATGTGCATGACATAGAGGGAGAGCTGCAGGTGATGATGTTCCCATGCACCTACTTCGCTTGTTTTTCAAGATGATAAGGGTTATAATTCTGAAGATGCTACCAAAGCATTCTTGGTGAATTGCTGTAGTGCATTTTGCAGAAGATGCCATCAGCGTGTACCAATGTAGGATGGGGTGAATGTTGAAGGTGGTGGACAGGGTCATAATGAGCTGCTTTGTCCTGTTTTGCTCAACTTTAATAATTACAGTAACATTTCTAAGCAAATAAGATAACAATGCCAGACCAATAACAGCACAAGAACAATTTCATAACATTCCTGTCTATCTGAACATTAGGTTGGAGGAGTTCCGGTCTGACAGCAAAAAGGCCAATGGCTCAATCAGACTTTTATTCTTCTAATGTGCATAAATGAGTGCCATGTCCTAGGTAACAAAGAGGGGAGGCAAAGAGAAGACTGTCAGAACCTTTTGCAGTATTTTTCACAATGCCTTTGGACATAGCTGACAGCTGGCAACAGAAATAAAGATCTATACTGCCTTATACTGCCAGCTGAAGCCCAGCTAAACTCACTCTCCCAGCAGACATTTTCCACTTTTGAGTCGACAAAAAACTAAACTTACCTCATTGTTGTGAAGTGTTAGACAAAGTTTACATTCATAGGAACCCAGGTGATTTTTCATAAAATAGGGATCCTAAAAAATTAGAAAGAGAATAACAATTAAATTTCAAAATGCTGAGAGATTAGAAGGCATTTACTGGTACAGACTGCACTCAGAAACTAACCTTATTTATGTCAATGGTTTCCAAAGCTAACTGTCTCAACCGTTCTCTTCGATCTCGATTGCTTTCAGAAGAGGAAGCAACCCCTCCACTGCCAGTTTTCCCTCCTGGTCGATGTTGAAAATCCATAGTTATTTGATGAAGAGTATCTTTTTAAAAAATCTGAAAGAGTTTAAAAACAAAAATGCAGATATGTTAACAGTCAGTTTTACTTTCTGTACAGAAACTTATCATTTGTTTCACAAAATGACAACTTTATGAGAAATGATTTTGAAGTATTGCATGAATGATCCGATGTCACAGACAACTGTACATCTCAGGAAAAGACAGACAAGGGCCTCTGACGTCCTGAGGTCCACTAACTGTGAGTATCGCCCTGCAGTTGGAGTGACAAATTGCAGAATCACCTGTGTAATTCTTTTATACACATGTTTTTACAATGTACTAGACCTTTTTGTAAAGATTTCAATTTATGCTCTTGAAGTTATTAAGTACACTATCTTAAATATGGTATAGATTTTAACATGAAACGTCAGCTTTATGAGCAGGAAAAATATTCATAGTAAATATTTCATACTTGCATATACTATTCTCTGTTGTAATGCAATAGACTTTAACTTTTCACATTTGGGATCTGTTTTTAAATCCAGCCAGTGTATTTGTTGATGCCAACTGACTGACTATTAGGGCTGTGTGTGAAATCAGTTTGGCAAGATTCAACCAGTTCCTGGTAGCGAAGAAGCATTTGTGCAGACTTGTTACTTTTTCTTCACTTTTATATTTTACCAATTTGATTAATCAGGGCTGAGAGTTCAATACAGGTCCCGAAACCATAGTTTTAAGCTCCACATAAGTCTTAACAATTAGAAACCAAGAGCAACGTCAAAGCTTGGACAATAAAGTATAAAGAGGCTGGTTTGGGTTAAAACCTAGCACCCATGACAAATATATCGTAAAATTAGGCTACGAGTGCAAACTGAAGGTTTGCTCACACCTGCAAAATTCTGGCACCAGCTGTAAATCCTGCACTGAAGATCAAGTTAGTCTGATCAATTCTAAGCTCACTATTAGAACCCGTTCTTCACCTTTCAATGACATTGCCTTCTTGCACGTTGCCAAATAACACTGTTACTTCACACTAAAATAGTTCATTGATGTGTTAAGCATCTCCAAAGATTTAATTCGCACAAGCTTCAGCTAATCATCTCTGCCCATCATCATGTTGATCCTGACCAAACTGAATTGATTTCTTGTGCCAATTATTCAATTTCAAAGGCCCTACCCCAGTCATCCAATCCATGTACAGCTTCTCTTTAATCTATGAAATCTGTAACACTACACTCCAGCCATTGGCATCCATTTCTTTAAATTGGTTTTACTGCTGTCTCCCAACACATCTGTTCCAATAGCTTAGTACACTTCCTTTAAATTTTCGTACTTCTCTATCTGCTTCCTATAGCCTCTTGAAAACTGAACTGTTCAACTGCACTATTAGTCTTCCATTGCCCGTTTTTCCCCCTTGTAAAATGCTGAGATGGTCACCAATCTTATTAATGTAAGTTGTAGTTGGAGTGAAGCTTATGAAATAGAATGCTTCTGGAGGAGGAATACTACATTGGAACAAAATAGCAATTATTTTCATAGCTTCCTTATTGGTGATCACACATAAATCAAAAATTCACCAGGACTTGAAGGTTTTTTTAATTCATTTTATGGGATGTGGGCATCGCTGGCTGGCCAGCATTTATTGCCCATTTCTAGTTGCCCTTGAGAAGGTGGTGGTGAGCTGCCTTCTTGAACTGATGTAGTCTATCTGCTGTGGGTTGACCCACAATGCCATCAGGGAGGGAATTCCAGGATTTTGACCCAGTGACAGTGAAGGAACATCAATGTATATCCAAGTCAGGATAATGAGTGGCTTGGAGGGGAACTTGAATTTGGTGGTGTTCTCATGTATCGACTGCCCTTCTCTTTCGAGATGGAAGTTATCATGGGTTTGGAAGGTGCTGTCTGAGGATCTTCGGTGAATTTCTGCAATGCATCTTGTAGATAGTACACACTGCTGCAATTGAGTGTTGGGGGTGGAGGGAGCGGATGCTTGAGGACGTAGTGCCAAAATTTTGGCATTAGTCCCTAGATGTTAGCAAGGAGGACTCTGGAGGGTTGACAATGCTTTTAATAGACAGAAAGCAGAGAATAGGAATGAGAATTAACATTCTCAGGAAAGCAGGCTGTTAAATAATGGGCAGTACTAGATTGACTTCTGTCCATAAACTATATAAATAACTTCAGCGCAGGCACCAACTGTCATATTTCAAAATTTGCTGATGACACCAATTTCGGTGGGGACGTTGTGAGACAGACTAAAAGAGGCTTCAAGAAGAATTTAGACAGACTTAGTGAATTGGCTAGAATATGCAGGTGGAATATAATGTGAGTAAATGTGCAGTTATTTGCTTTGATTGAGAAACAAAAACAGAAAAGCAGACTTTTTCCTAAATGGTGAGAGGTTGGGAACTGAGAATGTCCAAAGGTACTACAAGTTAGCATTCAAGTTCAACAAATAATTAGGAAGGCGTATGGTATGCTGGCTCTCCATCATAAGGGGACTTGAAAATAGGAATAAAAATATCTTGCTGCAGTTGAATAAAGCCTTGGCATGACCTCACCTGGAGTACAGTGTTACTGTTTGATTCCCATAATTAACAAAGGGATATACATGCCAGAACAGGAGTGGAATGGAGGTTCACTAGATTAATCCCTGGGGTAGTATAATTTTTCATGATGGATTGACGATGATGGATCTGCATTCTCTAAAGTTTCAAAAAAATGAGGGATGAACTCACTAAAACTTACACAATGCTTACAGGATGCGAGCAGGCAGGGAAGCTGTTTCCTCTGGCTGGTAAGTATAAAACCAGGGGACATAAACTAAGGAAGGGTAAGCAAGTTCAAATCAAGATGTGCAGGAATTTTGTCACTCAGAGGGTAATGAACATTGGAATTCTCTACCCAAGGGGTCTGGAAACTAAAAATCATTGAGATATTCAAGTCAGAAATTAATGATATCAAAGAGTACTGATATAGTGCAGGTAAGTGGTGTTGAAGTAAATGAATGGTGATGCAGGCTTGACTAGTTACGTGGCCTATTCCTGTTCCAATGTAAATGTTAAGTTGCTGTTGTTGAACACATCCTGGTTTAATACTTCATCCAAAGCATAACATCTCCAAAGATGCAGAATTGTCTCAAAATTCACTTAAATATTGAGCACTTACATGCTCAGCTACTGGAGTGCAGGTTAAATTTACAATATTCAGACTTGGAGATGAGCATTACTACTGACCCAAAGTGATACTAGGAACGAGGCCAAAGTCAGTTGTTCCAAACAGCAAACCAAGCTTGTTTATGGTGGAGCCTTGGTGAGCAATTGAAGAGAGAGATAGAGTCAGTTTTTAGCAAAGGCTCAGAACGTCAGCTAAGATCATTCCAGAGAAGTTTCTAACCCATTCACACTCATCCAAACAGGGGCAGCATCGAATCAAGGAAACGGCAAGGACACAAATGTTGGCATTATCTGCACACTTGGGTAGAATGTAACAGCACCAACAGCTGAAGTTGTGGACAGGCAATATATATTTTAAAAACTGGTAGAAGATTAACATTCAGGGAACACACATGGCATAGGAACAAAAAGATAAATATTTGTGATGATGTGCTGAATGTTTCAACACACGCCATTGGGAAAGGCTACAGAATAGAACAGATGCAACCAGTGATCAATCATGTGAAATGTAGTTAAAGCTGAAGCAAAAATCTGTCGTCAGAAATAAAGAAGATTCCCTCTCCACACAAGTATTTGGAAGCATATATATTAACAAAAACATTCCTCCTTACATCATTCATGTACACATGCAGTACAAACATTTTCCACCACTCTTACACTAAATGTAAGAAAAAGGAATAGACCACCCAGCTCATTAAACTTGGACCACCACGTAATACAAATGTCATTGACTTTCTGCCTTAACTTCACAAATCCTATATCAGGATTGTGAGAAACCAACAATCCATCAATCTTAACCTTGAATATACTTAATAACACAGCATCTGTTAGTTTAGTCCAAATATCTTATCCTTTATCCTGAGATTATGGCCCCTGATTTTTTGTTTAACAGTGAGGGAAAACAGCTTATCTATATTCCCCCTAAAGTGTCCTGTAAGTTTCAATGAGTTCAACTCCAATTCTTCAAAACTCTAAGAAATATATACCCAATCTCCTCAATCCCTGGTATAACAAACATGCTATCCGAGGGATTAATTTGATGAACTGCCATCGTGCTCCCTCTATGGCAAGTACATCCCCTTTTCAGAAGGGTCGAGTGGCATACTGGTAACACCCCCACATCTGAGCCAGAAGGCCTGGGTTAAAGTCCCTCTGATGCTCCAGAGGTACATCATAATATTTCTGAACAAGTTGATCAAAAAATATTTATCCCCTGCTCAGGATAGGAAACCAAAACTGTATGCAGTACTCCAAGCGAGAATTCTAAAGATTCAAAATCTAACCCATTAAGTGTGTTGTTGTAAAAGTTTCTCCTCATCTCAGCGTTAGGTGATCGGTCCCCTATCCTGAACCACCTTTCTCCTCACACCACCATCCAACAAGCCAAGGGGAAACAAACTCTCAGCTGCAAAATAGCCTGGTTTCAGTCAGACCAGGCACTTTGCTTATTCAGCTCACTCTGAACAAAGGTGACCCCAATCGCTCTAGCATTACCATTGAACGAACAAGCAGACACAAAGGAAAACGTTGCGAAACACAGGCCTCAGGGTCCTTGGCCAGCTCAGAGCTGGCCACAATGGCCGGGTTAACAGCCTGTCCGGGGGTGGGATTGAGGGAAAGAACACTCATCATGATGAAGGTACATTGCGCCTGACCCACCAAGCTCCGGCTACCAGGAGCCGATAAACTAGCGGCCTGGAACCACCAGCCCCACGACTACCTGAATGCGCGTCCGTCAGCCACCAAAACCGACCGGAAGAAGGTGGCGGTGCACCGGAAGTTACTGTTATCAATAACTTTATTAACAAAGAACACTGACGCTGTGGGCCAAAAATCGGAAGAAGGTCGCGGACTACCGGAAGTGGGGTTTTTCAAAAACTTTATTGACAACAAGAAACGGTGGATCCTGAGGGAGGTCGAACGTTGGGGTGAGGTGCGGTTTTTGTTCTGTTTGCCGCTCGTTGGCCGTGTAGTGCCAGTCTCCGCCGCAGCTCGAAGTCATGATTTGTCGCTAGATTGGGTGTGTCCGTGTTTATTGACTTTTAGATATGCCGCAGACTTTATCGCTATTTTATACCAACGGCACGCACCTCCTGCTGGGCCTTCGCTTCCAGAGATAACGCTCACCAGGTGGAGCAGCTTTGTCCAGGGTGGTGGCTGTGTCCGGAGGGAAGGAGCTGCTCGTTAACATCCCCCCTCCCCTCCACTTGGTGAGGGAAGGGGTGATATCGAGGGGGAAAAGGCCTTTCTGCCAGCTACCATGAGATACAATGAGAAGGAGCTGCTGTGTCTCTCCAAACAACCGGCCGAGAAGGCGGCCGAGCTCACCATGAAGGGCCCAAAGCGCAACGACGGTAAGGAGCAATCTAAGCTGCTCGAGGAACAAAAGCAGAAGTTGCTGAAAAAGCTCAGCAGGTCTGGCAACATTTGTGAGGGAAAAAACAGAGTTAACGTTTCGGGTCCGGTGACCCTTCCTCGGGGTTGGGGTGGGATGGATGGGTTGAAAGGGATTTCAGTTGCTCAGCAGGGAGGATGAAAATAGCCCTGGGGTGTTACATTGGAACAAATACCTACCTCATAATTTTGTGACCCGCTGGTGACATCTAGTGAGTCCAACGTACAAGAGTTGACTCTGCCCTCCTTTCCTTCGAGTTTCTAAATTCTACTTAAACCCAGTTGCCTGTTCCAATTCTTAAATTCGCTGCCAGCGCTACAATCAGAAAACAGTGGCCGTGCACCGCAAATTGTATAGCTCTATTATATGTCAACGTTTACGGTCGATAGAGGGGACAGCAGAGAGTGTAAAGTAAATGCCAACCTATTATGACTGCATTTTATAAATTTTTACTGTAACAATAACCCCTACCCTGGGAAGGGGGAAACCACATGAACCAAAAAGGATGTTATGAATGGGTTTTTTAAAAAAAAAAAAAGCTTTTATTTTAATTGTGGGGTGTGTAGCAGAAAAAGAGGGGGAGAGAGATTTGAATGTGAAGTCTCATAGCCAAAAAACAAGATCATCAATAATTGGAGATAAAGGCCAGCTGCTCAATAGGCCGGAAAGAGAGACACAGGGTGGCCTGCAGGTGTGGGAGTAATAGTGATTAGACTGTAAATGTATTTGACAATAAGGATAGTAACTTAAAATTGTTAAAATCTGGATGTTAATGTGAGTCATGTGGATAGAGGTGATGGTCAAACTGGATTTGTTGTGCAATAAATAATAATAGCAGTCTTTTGAGTTTGCTGAGTTTATGTTGAGTGGTCTGGAGGTGACTAGCATGAATGAGGGTTTAAATGGCCAATGATCCAGTATAGGAATGGAGGCATTTGTTCATATGGGCATGATTTTTGTGATATATGCCAAAATGATTGCAAATTCAGATTGGAGATTGAAAAATATGAGACTGATAACCATCCGATTCATTCAAAAACGCTGGCCAGGGAGAGGACTAAGAGGTCTGACATCTGTATTTATAAAGGTAAAAATGCTGACTATAGTCAGTATGTCGAGAGCAAAGAGCGATACAGAGTTAATGTTTCAGGCGTGGAAAATATCAGCTGTAACAGGTTTTAAGCAGTGAAGGAGCATAGGAACGTGGGTTTGGGAGCAGAAGTAGGCCATTTGGCCTTTCCTTCTTATTTTTTCCATTAAATCATACCTGATCTGATTGTGGTCTCCATTCTATTTTCCTATCCAAACCCCATAATCTTCAGTGCCCTTGTTTATCAAAAATTTCTCTGCTTTTGAGTAAATTCCATGACAACCACTGCCACCATTCTCTTTCCCCCCCCCCAAATTCCCCCTGGCATTTGGGAACGAGAACAGAGAAAAAAATCCTCCTTATCTCTCTTTGAAGGGAGATTTAAAATTGTTTTCCCGGCTTGTATTGAATGCCAAAGAAGGTCGGCATCCTGGTATCTACTGTATCAAATTCACTCATGGCCTTGTATATTTCAATAAGATCCCCTCATTCTTCTAAGTTCTTAGTAGGAACTAGCCCACCCAGCTCAATCTTTTCTTTGTAAGATGAGCCCTTCATATCAGAAATGAGACAATTGAACCTTTGAACTTTTTTTTCAAAAAAGTGTACATGTATTCGAGATATGGTTTCACCAAAGCCCTGCGGCAATAAAACGTTCCTCCTTTTGTATTCCATTCCCCTTGTAATAATTGCCATTCTATTCGTCTTCCTAATCACTTGCCAGAGCTGCAAACCGATTTTTGTTTTGATTTGCATCGCGGATCACACAGACACAGTTTGGCAATCTCTGTCTACACTGTTTTAAATAGCTGGTACTTTTCCTTTCTTCCTTCCAAAGTAGACAAATTCACGTTTTTCTACATTACACTCAATTTGCCAGATTTTTGCCCTCTGTCAAATGCCTGTTTCTAGACCCTTCACCTGCTTTTGGCAACTTACCTATCTTACATTTGACAATGATAATTGCTAATGAGTCTGCCGTATATTCAGCCCCATCATCCAAGAGGCAGGGCAAGCGAATGAGAGAAGAAAATCTCTTCCACCTGCCTTCATCCGTCTTCATCGGCCTAATTCTACTTGATTAAAACCTCTAATGTCTGGTACATTTTCAGTTTTCTTTAAAGATTGCATCCCTCAAATATTAGCTCTTTTTTTTCCTCCACAGATGTTGCTTGCTCCACTGAATAGCTCCAGCAATTTGTTTATTTCAGCGTCTGCAATATTTGCTTTGCGGGAGAGTTTAAACTCTCAAGCACAAGTTCTAATGAAAAACTGTCTGAAACATTAACAAGTCATTTTCTCTCTAAATTCTATGTATAACTAACATTTAAAAGCAGTTGTGTTGGGTCTAATTGCTCTAGTTTATTGCTTTGGCCTGTTTATCTTCATTTCCTGCTTGTGGGTGTTCAGTTATTAGACAACATGCCTTCTGGCTGGCTTGCATTACAGCGATAACCAGATCAAATCGCTAGTATGTTTTGCATTTTGTAACATTCTTGCAAATTTTTTCTGTACCTTTTCTAGATTAACAACATCCTTCTTATAGCAGGGTGACCAGAATTGTACTCAGTACTCTAAAAGTGGCCTCACCGGTGTCTTGTATAACCGCAATATGTGTCACAACTCCTATACTCGATGTTCTGACCAATGAAGATAAGTGTGCCAAATGCCACCTTCACCAACCTGGCTACCTGCGATGCTACTTTCAAGGAACTATGAACCTGCACCCCTAGATTCCTCTTCAGCAGCACTCCCCAGGACATACCAGTAACTGTGTAAGTCCTGCCCTTGTTTACCTTGCCAAAATGCAGCACCTCACATTAATCTAAATTAAACTCCATCTGTCACTACTTGGCCCATTGGGCTTATTTCATCAAGATTTCATTGTACTCGTAGATAACCTCTTTCACAGTCTGCTATATCAACAATTTTGGTGTCATCTGCAAACTTACTAACTATATCTCCTATATTCTCATCCAAATTGATATAAATGATGAACAACAGTGAACCCATCCTTGCAGCACACTGCTGGTCACATGCCTCCAGTCCAAATAGCAACCCTCTACTCTTAAACGAAAGGTGTAACCAGAAAATACCAAGACCCCTTCTCCCCGACACTGCCCCCTCATCAGATATTCCCTCGGACAGGGATAGCACCAGGTGAAACACTGAGCAAAGCCAGCTTACTGTTTCGAAACAGGAAATGAAGCTTCCTTGACTTTATTATGAAAACAAAGACCCTATTACTTTGAGTAGGGGGGAATAAATAAAGAAAGAAACAAAAAATGGCTCTCCCTTGACTCCGTCCCCGCCAGTCGCTTTTGGACAGGGACGACAAAGGGCCAAAATAAAAATAAATTAAAGGCTAGCAACCCACCAGCACCACTGTCTGTCTTCTACCATCAAGCCAATTTTGTGTCCAGTTGGCTATCTATCTCTGGCTGGCATATGATTTAACCTCACTAACCAATCTACTGCCAGGACTGGGGGATTTGAATTATAAGGAGACGCTGGAAAGGCTGGTACTTTTTCTCCTTGGAGTGTCAGGGGCTGAAGGTTTATAAAATCATGAGGGGCATCGATGAGGTGAATAAGCAAGGTCTGTTTTCCAAGGGTATAGTTTAAGGTGAGTGGGGAGAGCATTAAAAGTGACCTGATGGGCAACTTTTTCTCACAGGGTGGTATGTGTATGGAATGAGCTGCCAGTGGAAGTGGTGAAGGTGGGTACAATTACAACATTTAAGAGGCATCTGGATGGGTACATGAATAGGAAAAGTTTACAGTCATGCAGCATGGAACCAGACCCATCAGTCCAACCAGTCTGTGCCGAACGTATTCCCAAACTAAACTAGTCCCACCTGCCTGCTCCTGGCCCATAACCCTCCAATTACCTGTTCATTTACTTATCCAAATGCCTTTTAAATGTTTAATTGTACCTACAGCCACCACTTCCTCAAAGTTCATTGCACACACAAACCACCCTCTGTTTTTAAAAAAATTGCGCCTCATGCCTTTTTTAAATCTTTCTACTGACACCTTAATAATGTGTCCCCTAGTCTTGAAATCCCCATCCTAGGGAAAAGACAACTACTATTAACTCTATCTATACCCTTCATTGTTTTATAAACTTCGGTAACTTCTATATGCTCCAGTGAGAAATATCCCAGCGTATCTTTATAACTCAAACCTTCCATACCCGGCAACATCCTGGTAAATCTCTTTTGAACCCTCTCCAGCTTAATGGA